CTCAACATGTACATTACACACCTGTGTCCTACAGCGCCCTCATAGGTTTCTAAGGTTTCTAAGTGTAACTTCCGCCGGTCATGACGACGCCATAATCATTTTCTTTTCCAATTTCTTTTTTTTCCCAATTTTTTTTTTTGTTATACATTTTTTTCATCCTGGTCTCCCCCCCTGTCATGCCTCTGCGCCCCCCACTTTGAGAAACACTGCCCTATGCCAGCTGTGATGAAGGCGTCTTCTTCACACAGATGCTTTCAGATGCATTAATTTGGTTTTCGAGCCCACAAGTCAGAAATAGATTATAGTAAAGTATATCTACAAATAATCCTGTTGAAATTATTGAATTTAAAAAGCATTTAGTTGCACAACACTGTGCAGATGGTTGAGGCATGTTCTTCTTTTTTTTTAAGGACCATGACAACTATTAATATCTGAAACTATAATGTTCACTTGACCATTCTTGGCCTATCTTGGTTTTGATTAATGTATGCTTGGTATAAACTCTTAATTCATTCCTAAAATGAGCTTCTGCAGACTTTAATGATGGAGTACCTGAGAAACTCTTGGAAGGGGGTAAGTGAACTTCATGTCAGCAGTCATTTCTGTCAGAGGTGCATCATTGTTTGTGAGGACTTCAGATTAACCGGCAATGATTAACATTACGCTCATCAACCATCTGCTGACTAACAGAATGACCTTTAATAGCACTGTGTGTGCTACTGCTTTTTCCTAGTACATCAGTGAGGTACACTGAAGAAACTGAAGCGTTGACTTTGATTAAATGTAATATGTCAACAGATTTGCTAACTGTATTAGGTTAGTTGAAAGCAACAATATTAAGTTGAACCTATTATTTTTTATTTAAAGGTAATATGATTGCTTTCAATTAACCTAATACAGTTATGTGAAATGTGTTGGAATAAACCATTTAATTAAAGCCTAGGTTCCAGTTTTTTCAGTGTATTAATAATGCCAGCAAAAAAACTAACATTTAAGTGCTCATTTATTAATCACTAAATAACGTATAATGAACTGGCTTTTTACTGTGTAGCCTCATTCTACTAAAACATCAGTGTCTTGTCTTTTTAATCTCCAGAGTTTCACTCTCCTCACTCCATGGCTTTCCTTTTGGAAAAGTGAAAAGTGGAAAGTGAAACGCTCGTTGAAATGGGATTTTAAGTTTTGAGCAGCGTGCGCCTGCACTCAGCTCTGGAATGCGTCTCAGCTTTCTTTTCTTTTCCATGAGAGGAGGACAAAGGAGAGGAGATGGTCAAAGAAATCATGATGACTTTTGCAGACTCATCATGTCTGGTCTTGTTTACACTGGGGGGTCGTAAGACATAAGCCAGCTGACTACTGCTAAGAGAATCCATTTTTACCACGGCACTTAAACTATTGTGCAGCTGCAAACAGTCTGTCCTCTGTCCCCTTCTCCCTCTGCAGGTCGTGTATTTTGGAGATAGCATGAGGTCGGATATGTTCCCTGCCAGCAGCTTTGGGAAGTGGGAGACAGTGATGATCGTGGAGGAAATGGAGGGGGAGGGCGTCCCGAAGAGTGACGCGGCGAAGTGTAATGAGGCCCAAGTGGAGCCGCTGGAGAAAAAGGGAAAGTTTGAGGTGAGTTCAGAGGAGCAGCTGTTTCCCTTTAGCAGTGACTGCTGCTCCTCTCTGCTGGAAGCCTCACCGCCCGCTAAGACTCGTTCTCCAACTGTCTGCGGTCGTGTTGCATTGTGGGTAATGCAGACGCCAGGTTTTGACAAGGAAGAAAAATGTGTAAAATTAAAAAGGTGATATCTTTGATTCTGCTGCTTCGATTTTAGCCTTTTTTTTAAGTAACAGTAAGACCAACCGTGTTAAAATAGTGCAGAGCTCAAAGGGTGCAGCCCTCCTGGGAAGAGGTGGGAGGTAACTAAGTACATTTACTCAAGCACTGAACCTAAGTACAAGTTTGAGATACTTTCACTTTACTTGAGTAATATTTCCATTTTAATCTACTTTGAACTTCTACTCCACTACAATTCAGAGGTGACGTATACCTCTATTCCACTACATGTATTTAATACCTTTAGTTACTTCACAGATGTGGATGAATGATGTGAAATATAATCAAGTGTTAAATCAGACTTTAGTTCCACCTGGAGTAAATTCACAAGCTACCCTGCAGTATACAAAGTCATTAAAACTAGCTGCACCTTTACCAGCTTTGAGAACACTTTCATGATCAATCATTATAAAACCTATCATATATATTATTCTGAAATGGACCAATCTGCACAATGACTACTTTTACTGTCGCTACTTTCACTATATTTTGATGATAATACTTTTCTACTTTTACTTGAGGAACATTTTGAATGCAGGACTTTTGCTGTAACAGAGTATTCCTACACTCTGGTACTTCTACTCAAGTACAAGATCTGAGTACTTCTCACCTCTGCTCCTGTGGTATATAATATGAATCAGTGATGCCCAAAGATTTGACATAATACCACCTCCTGCTGGTGGAGCTTCGCAGCAGCGAAACCATGCCGCGCCACACTAATTGCGCCACATAAGCTCAGTTGAGGCTCCCTCCGCAAGATGAGGCCCCCCTCCGCAAGGTGAGGCCCCCCTCCGCAAGTTGAGGCCCTCCTCCGCAAGGTGAGGCCCCACGCAGTCTGCGTGTTCTTCCTGTAGGGAGGGACGGCCCTGTTCCAATCTAATACACTTATGTGAACTATGTTGATATAGAACATTTGATTAAAGTCAACGTTTCAATTTGTTCAATGCATTACGATATGTTCTTTAATTATGTTCACTCCTGAGGATATATGTGTGAAGTGCGCTGCTCGGCTGCGCACCGCCTCTCAGCTGCTCCGTCCGTCTTGTGTTTTGTTTTGTGTTTGTTTGTTTTTGGGCTAATTATTGTCTAACGTTATTTGTCTGTATGACACATCATTTTTGAGAGACCATGCTTTTGATCCTGTGGATTACTTTTCCTTTCTGCGGACCATTTCTGGCCATACAACTTTTCAAAACACACCTGAGCCACAACACGAACAGGTACGGCGAGGAGCCCCGGCCTCTACGCTGCTACAGCAGCATCCCTCGGGAGCTGCTTAGACACATCAGGAAAAAGAGACGAGGAAGGAGGGAAGGCGTTCGGAATCGCCTACGGCGGAGATTCAGCCGGCCACCACTTCCATCCATCATTCTCACAAACCTGCGCTCATTGAGCAACAAATTGGACACACTAAGGATATACACAAGGTACTGTCATGAATTTCGTGAGGCCTCTTTACTATGTTTCACGGAAAGTTGGCTACAATCTACGATGCCTGAATCTCTCTTTGAAGTACCCAGATTCACCCTTGTTCGAACAGACAGGGATGCGAACTCGGAGAAAACCAGAGGAGGCGGTATTTGTGTGTATATTAATGATCTGTGGTGCCGATCATACTCAGT